ATAATTCCAATAAAAATTCCAGCCAGACTTTTTGCAGAAATTCACCACCTAATCCTAAAATTTCTATTAAAACTCAAGGGACTCAGAAAAACCAAACAATCTTGAAAAATAACAAAGTTGGAGGACTCCTACTTCCCGATTTCAAAACTTACTGTAAAGTTACAGTAATCAAGACAATGTGGTACTAGCATAAGGATAGATATATGCACAAGTGGAAAAGAAATGAAGAGTCCAGAAACCCTCACATTTAGATCAATTGATTTTTGATAGTACAAAAGCAATTCAGTGGGGAAGAAATAGTCTTCCCAACAAATGGCACTGGAACAAATGAATATCCACATGTGAAAGAATGAAATGGAACCCTTTACTCAACATATAAAAATAAACTCAAAATGAATCAAAGACCTACATGTAAAAGCTAAAACTATAAAGCTCTTACAAAAAAAATAGGTGTAAATTTTCATGCCTGCAATTAGACAATGATTTCTTAGACATGACTCCAAAAGCACAAGCAACAAAAGAAAATATTTATAAACTGGACTTCATTGAAAGTTAACACTTCTGTTGCAAAGGACACCATCAGAAAAGTTAAAAGAAAACACCTGCAAATCATATATCTCATATGGCATTTACATCTAGAATATAGATAGAACTCTTACAACTCAACAATAAAATAATCTAATTTTAAAATGGGGGGGCGGGATGTGAATAGACATTCTCAAAAAAGACATACATGCCCTAGCTGGTTTGGCTCAGTGGATAGAGTGTCAGCCTATGGACTGAAGGGTCCCAGGTTCGATTCCAGTCAAGGGCACATGCCCCGGTTGCAGGTTCGATCCCCAGTAGGGGGCGTGCAGGAGGCAGCCAATCAATGATTCTCTCTCATCGTTGATGTTTCTCTCTCTTTCTCTCCCTCTCCCTCTCTCTGCTTCTCTGAAATCAATAAAAATATATATTTTTAAAAATCATTCAGGAAATGCACATCAAAACCAAAATGAGCTACAATTTCATATCAGATAATAACGGTTTGAGGCTGTGGTGAAATTGGAAGCCTCATACAATGCTGGTAAGAATAAAAATGGTGCTGTGGAAAACAGTTTGGCAGTACCTCAAAAGGTTAAAAACAGGCTAGCATATAATCCAGCAATTCCACTCCAAGGTATATACCCAAGAGAATTTACAACATATGTCTAAACAAAAACTTGTACAAGCATGTTCATAATAGCATTATTCACAATAGCAAAAAAGTGAAAATAACCCAAATATCCATCAGTGATGGATTAAAGTATGTGATACAGCCATACAATGAATACTCCTCAGCCATAAAAAGAAATGAAATACTGACACATGCTATAAGGTGGATGAATTTTTAAAATATTATGCCACCCTGGCCAATGTGGCTCAGGTGGTTGGACGTCGTCCCAGTTTGATTCCTGGTTGGGACCTAGATTCCCAGTAGGGGTATGCAGGAAGCAGCCTACCGATGTTTCTCTCTCTCTCTCTAAAAAAAAAAAAAAATCAACAAAAACATATTTTTTAAAACAACATGCTGCTGAGTGGAAGAAGCCAGTCACAAAGGACCACATATTGTATGATTCCATTTAAATGAAATGTCCACCATAGACAAACCTCAAGAGAAAGTAGAAAATATGTAATACCTTTTCGAATTAAATCACTTTAAAAACAACTACATTGTTCATGTATTTATGTTATGTCTTTCTTCATACTAAAACTCTTTTTCTAAAATGTTTTAAAAAGCACTTGGAAGCACAAAAGCGTGCTGAGAAGAAAAGACCCAGAATTTTAACATAGCTAAGGAAAACTCATAAACCACAAAGGCAGAAAATTTATTTGTCTGTTGGATACTAACAAATGACCAAAATTCCCTTCAATTCTGGCCTCCTTTTGAATTAGATATTACTACCAATAATTAATCCTTAATTTGCAAAATATTTGTATATTTTATAAAGGCAATCACCAACGTAAAGCTGAAACTCACTGGACTTTACATCATAGTAAACAATTTTAAACTAAATGCAACAACCACTTAAAACATTTCTTGGAATAGTAAAAACAGCATAACTCTGGCGTCAGAGACGGGCTTGAATCATAGCCTGCTATTTATCAGCTAGGTGATCATCAATTTACTTGGTCTCTGAGTTTCCGCCCCTTTCTGTTAACCAGGAATTAGACTACCTACTTGAGGGTGAAGAGACACTCCAATTACAAAATGGGGACAGGAGATTATTTCACTCTTTTTTTTAAAAAAAAAAAAACCTATCTGTACTGCTTGAAATTTTTTACAACATGTATATAATTTAAAAACATAATGCAGATTTTAAAAATAAAACTTTGTAGGGTTCTTGTGGAGCCATTTTGTAAGATATCTACACATAGCAAACTCCCAATTATGAATAATTTCCTCACTCCTTCCATAGCCCTTGTTACTGGAAAGGGGACCTGGCCCTTCGCAGGTCTGCCTAGGGCTGGCTGGTAGTGTGTGGGTTCTTGACTTCGTGTAAGAAAGAATTCACAACACGAGTCCAGGTGATTTTAGAGGACATTTATTAAAGCTGGGGATTTGATTCCCGGTCAGGGCACACGCCCAGGTGGCTGGCTCGATCCCCAGCAGGAGGCATGAAGAAGGCAGCCAATCAATGATGTTTCTCTCTCATCCATTTCTATCTCTCTATCCCTCTCCCTTCCTCTCTCTAAAATCAATAAAAACATGTATATTAAAAAATAAACAAACAAATAAAGCTGGGGACAGTAAAACAAAGAAGGGCTAGGGAAATGCAGGCTGGGCTGCTTTGGCTAAGAAGTCAGAGAAAGGGGGGCCTTGGGGACCGGGTCAGGGAGTTTGCCTGGGAGGAGCTGCTGCTGCCCATTGCTCCTGGCTGCCAGCCTCATGGGTTTCCTTCGAGTAGGAGATGCAGGCCTGTGGGGGAAGACAAGTGGGGAGGAGGGTGCAGGCATATTCCAGGGAGAGCAGGCTCTGTGACCTTCTTTTTGAGGGGTTTTAAAAAGCTGGGCATTTGGGGGAGGTCTTAAGGGAGGATTTCAATAGAATATTCATCAGTTTTATGCTGCAATGCCAAAATGAGATTTATTCTCTTAACTTCATCTGTCCTTGGGTGTAGTTGGCACAAATGGCACTAATTGCATCTCTGCTATCTATCTCCATGATGTACCCTCTGGTTGGGGATAAGTACAAACCATTTACTCTTACGTGTCCTCGGTTTAGGGAAGATAGAATTTATCAGAGGGCCGCAAACTGCTATTTAACTATCTCAGTTTTTCTATCCTACTTGCCAAGGAATTATCGTAGCTTCTACTATCCTGCCTCACTTCCACCATCTGAATTCAGGTGACTAAGACTTGGAGGAAGCAAAGCTAAACATTTATTTTTCTGAAGGCAATGGTTATCAAGAAAGAGATAAACAAGAGGAATAAAACCCAAACCTTTACCACTTTCCTCAAAACATACCAAAGAATTTCATCTGAAGAGAAAAAAAAGGAAGTCCACATGTTTACTGATTCTAATCACTTTATTCTGGAACATTAAGGTTTGGGGGGGGGGGGATACAATGTTAATGATAACACTATCAAATGTAAAGCAAATTTGGTACCTAATTAATCTTTTGACCTACAAGACAAATTCAGGATTCCGTTCAGAGAATATTTTACACTAAGAAACACAATACAAATATAAATTGTGACTATTTTAATCTAGCAAATACTGCAAAATATCAGCACCATCTTTCTTGCTTTGAAAGTACACTGAGAGGTTAATGCAATTTAATTGATCTAGGTTGACATCTTATACTTTGCATGGTATTGTGAGAATTAAGGACATTCTTTTCCACATTCTAATAGATGAAGAAAGTGAAAGCCAGAAAGCAAAGTAGTTTTGCAAGTCACAACGGTGGCTTTTAAAACCTCCAAAGCACACTGGGGTCGCTGAAGCTGGTAAGGTGGCCTTTAGCAGCTGTCTTAAAAACGCAGACTACTGTCACAAGCATCAAACTTACCCACAAGTGCGGCTAACATCAGCATTTCTAGTCAAGTATGCGTAAGCACATAATTAAACCTTCGTGTAGCTTAAAGTTTACAAAGCCTATTCTGGTCCATTTAATATATACATTACTGAGAATTCCCTGGAGTGCTTTTGTTTCTAGACTATTTCAAAAACATATTTCTGTCAACATAAGGAATGTGGAAACCTGCAGAGAATTTTTAAGAGTTTATTTGAGCCAAAACTGAGGATATTGCCAGGAAGCTCTCAAACGCTCATGAGAATAACCATTTTGCCGTTTCTTTTATGCATCTGGAACTAAAGAGGGACCACAGGAAGATCACCTAAAAGTGGGGAAAGCAAGGCGGGGCCGGGGAGGAGAGCCGCCTGTCCGAGGGGACCTGCAGAAACTGGAGAGATGATGTGCTCTTGGTGGTGGTCGCCCTCTAAGGGAGGGGTCTGAAAGGGGCCATTTCAAAGGCGCCAACCCAGATGCGCAGAACAAAGCACAGGGCTTGCTTTAGGCAAAGATACACCTTTTACAGAAGATGTGTGCCTGGGGCGTGGCTACCACCCCGATCTGCCCAGATAGGAAATTGTGCTTCATTGCTGCACCCTTGTTCCTCCACACCGGAAAGGGGAAGCGCCGTCAGTGAATGTTAGAAAGCTACAGCAGCGATTTACGTAACTGTTTTATCTCAACTTCGTCGGATGAGTGGTTAAAAGGGACAAAATTGAAAAGTGGTAAAAGCCCGTCGGTAAGGGATTCCCCAGAGGCCAGGCTTTCTCCTTTCGTTTCTGCAAGCCACCTCAAAAATGCAGCTCCGGCTGACACCAAGCTCTTCGCCGTCCCGTGCAAACAGCCAAGCCCTTCCCCGGCCTCCAACCGCCGCTGCTCCGTCCGCCGCAGGACCGCCCAGGGCAGGCCCCGGGGTGACCCGGCGGCCGCCGGGCCCAGGGCGGAAAGAGGGACACCGTGACTCACCGCGGCCTGCCGCCAACCGCACCGCCTGCAGTCCCGAGACCGGCCTCTCAGCGCCCCCCAGAGGCACGGCGCGCCCCTCCCAGGACAAGGGCCTTCGCCCTGAAAAGCTCCTCTTCCGAAGTATCCGTGACCAGGCCTGGAGCTCTCATAAAAAGATTTGTAAATTTCATTTCCCCGG